CCCCAAAACCCCAAAACCCCAAAACCCCAAAACCCCAAAACCCCAAAACCCCAAAACCCCAAAACCCCGAGTCTTCCTTTCGTCATTGAAATAGTTATAATTTTGGTAAGAATGTAGGTTGGAGATTAAACTTCACTTCTAGTAGAAATAAACTAACTGAGATTATTCAAAAAGCTATATGAGACTCTTTCCCCATCTAAGCACCCCTACTGCATAGATTTTTACCAAAAGTATCAACTTTTACTCTTGTTCTAAAATAATTTTTCTCTGCTGCACTAACTCCAGAAGGTGTTCTAAATTGCCTCTGTTCTCCTCTGTGGCATCCTTGTCTATCTCGTCTTCCAAGATATCCCCAAGAAGAGAAAGATCGTTACTGTATATCCTCTCACTGCCTATCAAATGGGACAATCATTTGATAGTTTTCTGTCCTTCGGCTCCTCTTCGATTTAAGAGGTGAATCATAGTTTCAACGAACATCCTACCTGATCTGTGAGTCTTTATTTTCTCTATAAATGTCTGTGTCTCTTCATTCATTTCTTCGGATGAATCTTTGCTGGTACAGTACATCTCAAACCGAGTCAGGAGGATAGTCACAACAGCGTCAAAGTAATGAGTTTTGTTAATAATCGTCAAAGTTTCAAAAAGTTTGTCGACCAACTCATTGTTCTCCAATATTTCTAAATTTTCTCCACCTTTGAAAAACTCAGTGATTAGTAAGAAAGCGTCAGGAGTCATGTCCTCGAGAGGAGTCTTGAGAATATAACTAGCAAGCGCTTCAGGTAGCTTTGATCAGCTAAGAAGCTGATCGAATATAAGGTCAGGTCAGTACTCTCACAGTTGTCTCAAGATCATTAGAATCTTAGTCGAATATTCCCCCTCCTCAATGTTGAGCATGAAATTATCTACAAGGGCTTCAACAAGGCCGAATGATTTATCTGATATCTTCATCAACCAGCTTATTTTCTTCTTAGAATGCTTCTTCTTTAAATCTGTCAAGACCTTATAAATCTGGTCTATTTTACCTTGCAATTCCTCTTGATCCATATTGGCTTTATTATTTATTAATGCTATGAGTTTCAATTGAAAATGGCAGAAGAGGGGTTTTGGGGTTTTGGGGTTTTGGGGTTTTGGGGTTTTGGGG